TGACCATAAAGAAGGTTTTTGTTTATAAAGCTCTAAAAATGTTACTGAGTGGTGTGTTAGTGCATTTCCTGCAAATATAGAAAGAATAAAGGGTCTCAATTAAATATGTTAGTGCAAATTGACACATGACTAGAGCAGTCTCCTTATTGTTTGCACCATGATATCATCAAAGCTCCAAAACAAAAGCTTAGTAAAGTATGTTAACAAAGATATGACAAAGCTTTTTGGTACATATTATCTTTAAGGTGTCTAGTATTAATATATGAATTCACAATTATTTCGTTTTGTTGAGTGTGGTCATAGAATGAGTAATGGCAACAATAGTGACCACTGTGCATTAGGTATACGTCCAATTGCAGTTGTTAATGAATGTTGCACTAAAATATGTTACAATGACAAAGTTACAGTGAATACTGCACTAAACTGAAAGTTCAAATGTTACAAATAAGTTACAGTATTGATGTTTCAATACTGGTTCCAATAATATAACAATGTTATGATATGTTACAATAAATTAACATTTTTTAAATATGATGGTTGCATTTTTTTGTCATTTATCTCAGTACTCAGCACTATCAGTGTTGTATAAGGGTTTTTCTGCATAATGACAACCCTAGAATGTGACGAAACAGGGTTTAAAATAGAAATATTTAGAAATATATTAATTCGAGAAGGGTCTGGCTGCAGCCTTGCACTTGCACTCTCAGACTTGCACTCTCAGATACTTGCGCTTCCGCAATTGACATCACTTGCAGTTTTTTTTTATTATTATTTTGTTCTATTTATTGATTACTTTTTGTTTGAATCTCTCAACATTTTACAACAGTAGCCAGGTGGTGAAGACAAGAAAAAAGAAACTAAATTACAATGTCATTAGCAATCGCCACTTGCACTCTCCGCTACCTGCGACGTCACTTGCAATCGACACAAATCGTGCGTGTTGCCAATGGAGACAAGATGCTGTGGTGGTGATTAAACGATTAAAACTAATTTTATACTATAACGTACAGGGTCCTGCAAGAAAAAGACTAGACCTGCAAATCCGAGGCCACAGAACAGCAAAAAATGATCGCATGCGCAAAGTCTCTCGTTAAGCGTTTTCCTCCTGTAGAAAAACATAAACACTTAATATGGCTTAATGTATAAGATACATTAAGTACAAATAAAATATCAAATTTGATATATAGTTATTTAATGTACAACAAGGCAAGCAGATGGCCATGAACACAATGCTCAAACTTTCACTTGTCCTCCCATACAGCAAAACGCTTAATGTGGCATAATAACGGATGATAAAGCCATAAAGAAGGTTTTTGTTTATAACGCTCTAAAAATGTTACTGAGTGGTGTGTTAGTGCATTTCCTGCAAATATAGAAAGAATAAAGGGTCTCAATTAAATATGTTAGTGCAAATTGACACATGACTAGAGCAGTCTCCTTATTGTTTGCACCATGATATCATCAAAGCTCCAAAACAAAAGCTTAGTAAAGTATGTTAACATAAAGATATGACAAAGCTTTTTGGTACATATTATCTTTAAGGTGTCTAGTATTAATATATGAATTCACAATTATTTCGTTTTGTTGAGTGTGGTCATAGAATGAGTAATGGCAACAATAGTGACCGCTGTGCATTAGGTATACGTCCAATTGCAGTTGTTAATGAATGTTGCACTAAAATATGTTACAATGACAAAGTTACAGTGAATACTGCACTAAACTGAAAGTTCAAATGTTACAAATAAGTTACAGTATTGATGTTTCAATACTGGTTCCAATAATATAACAATGTTATGATATGTTACAATAAATTAACATTTTTGAAATATGATGGTTGCATTTTTTTGTCTTTTATCTCAGTACTCAGCACTATCAGTGTTGTATAAGGGTTTTTCTGCATAATGACAACCCTAGAATGTGACGAAACAGGGTTTAAAAACTGTGCATTAGGTATACGTCCAATTGCAGTTGTTAATGAATGTTGCACTAAAATATGTTACAATGACAAAGTTACAGTGAATACTGCACTAAACTGAAAGTTCAAATGTTACAAATAAGTTACAGTATTGATGTTTCGATACTGGTTCCAATAATATAACAATGTTATGATATGTTACAATAAATTAACATTTTTTAAATATGATGGTTGCATTTTTTTGTCATTTATCTCAGTACTCAGCACTATCAGTGTTGTATAAGGGTTTTTCTGCATAATGACAACCCTAGAATGTGACGAAACAGGGTTTAAAATAGAAATATAGACCTGCAAATCCGAGGCCACAGAACAGCAAAAAATGATCGCATGCGCAAAGTCTCTCGTTAAGCGTTTTCCTCCTGTAGAAAAACATAAACACTTAATATGGCTTAATGTATAAGATACATTAAGTGCAAATAAAATATCAAATTTGATATATAGTTATTTAATGTACAACAAGGCAAGCAGATGGCCATGAACACAATGCTCAAACTTTCACTTGTCCTCCCATACAGCAAAACGCTTAATGTGAGTTTATTCTGGGCTCACCTGCTTGCCTGTACATATTAGTTATGTATATTAATAATGTAGAGGAGCATACTGAGTTTGGCCTTTTTAGTCCATTATGCCACATCATGCCACGTTTTGCGGTATGGGAGGAAAATACTATATACATATTCATTATATTAATAAACTGTATATTTAATTTGATATTTTAATAGCATCTTAATACATTAAGCCATGTTAAGTGTTTATGTTTTTCTACAGGAGGAAAACGCTTAACGAGAGACTTTGCGCATGCGATCATATTCTGCTGTTCTGTGGCCACGGATTTGCGGGTCTTGTCTTTTTCTTGCAGGACCCTGTACGTTATAGTATCAAATTAGTTTTAATCATTTAATCACCACCACACAGCGTCTTGTCTCCATTGGCAACACACACGATTTGTGTCGATTGCAAGTGACGTCGCAGGTAGCAGAGAGTGCAAGTGGCGATTGCTAATGACATTGTAATTTAAAATTGTTTCTTTTTTCTTGTCTTCACCACCTGGCTACTGTTGTAAAATGTTGAGAGATTCAAACAAAAAGTAATCAATAAATAGAACAAAATAAAAAAGACTGCAAGTGATGTCAATTGCGGAAGCGCAAGTGTCTGAGAGTGCAAGTCTGAGAGTGCAAGTGCAAGGCTGCCACCAGACCCTTTTGGTTAATTCGGTATACACATTATCCCACCAGTCACAATTGTGGCCGACCATAAAACACAATTTTTCACACACTTTTCCATAAAAAAAAACAGACTATTTCAAGGGGTTACTACTGACACATCGTTTGGATATTTTCATGTCTGGGAAAAAATTTGGGATTAAATGGGTTAAACTCGAATCAGTGATCTTTTGGAATGTATTCATTTAGAACCATCTGAACGAACCGATTCAATACAATGAATCGGAATTTCCATCGAGGACATTTAGCACCACCTGATTCACTGAAATAAATCTGGCCTTAGCTCGAATGGATGCTTAGGACACCAAATAAATTAGGTAATATCCTTGTCATCAGTTTACTCTGCATAAAGTTATTATTTTACAGACTACATGACTGTGTTATTGTAGAAATAATTTCTCTAAAAATGAGAAGAAAATAAAAACACACAATGTGGACGAATTACCTGCACGTATGAATGAATGGTGCCGCACGCTGCATTCATTAAAATAAAGGTTGCGACGTTTAAAGGTGCAGTAAGGATTTCTGAGAAACACTTTTGAAAATTGAAATAAAACAATTCTGTGAATATTTGCTAACTACTCAGCAATAGGGGGTGTTTTTACGTTCATGATGGGGAAGAGAAAGTGTGAGCAGCGGGAGTTTTGTAGAAAGAGAAATGGTTGAGACATTATTACCAAAGAGGAAAAGGTCGGCGCTGGAGAGACGAGCGGGAAGGCCTGAAAACGGACACTGAGGTTGCTTTGTTTCTGTTCCACACGTGAGTAACATCGGTTTTGCTGTTTCACAGAACCAAGATAAGCTGTTGTTGTAGTATTAGCTATAGTAACAGCACAGGATTGACAGAGAGTTGCCTGTGTTGCGTCCTATGTTCGGGAATTTGGTGAAATGAAGGGAGGTGTACGTTGTTTGGGTGTCCATTTCAAATATTGGTCTTTGCAATTGACCACTTGTCTACTTACATGACATATTTCATGTATTTGGCCCAAGTGTTCTAAACTGCAAATGTGTGTCGAACTTTTGAATAACCAATGGGACACACTTACAACATAGTGTTGTAAAAATGCATTTTTATAATTTATTTACACATTCTGTACTTGTTTTAGAGATGTGTTGGATTTAGTGTATGTTAAATACACTTCACAAATTATAGGTACCACATATGATTGTTTCGTAGTTTTATTTCCAAGCGATTTGAATATTCTGGCAGCTTTGGGTGAAGCAGTGTGTGTGTTTTTCCAAATACACCTTCTAAAATCTTTCCTCCGCCAAATTTGGCAGAAAATAATGCATGTGCGAGAACAGTTATTGAAATATGTTGTCTTTTTTTTATTGAACCAGTTCTGAACAAGAACCAGAAATATACATGGATTTGGCATTTCATAGTCTTAAACCTTAAAGGATAGGTTTTGGACACAGCCAGTGTTGGAGGGAAAACAGATGGTATTGAAAATACAGCGAAATAATCAAATCAGTCACTGAGGTCATCCCAATATTTATTGAGTTCACATATGATTATTTCCAACTGTTTGGTGTCAGGAATAATACAATACACCACTTGATGACAAAAAAAAACATTGACTTGGGTAAGATGATAATGATAAACCACAAACACAATATCAGTCAAAACACAACAGAGATAAAAGATTAAATACGTCTGTGTGAATCTTAATGATCTTAGTTTCAGATGCCATACAGGATGTTTTCCTTGAGCAACATTCTTGATCATTTGGCAATAAATCCCCCTGGCTTCTGTTCTTAAACAGAGGAAATACTGTCACACAATGATTAACACTTTAAGGTGGATATATTCAAACACCTTGATGTTAATGAGACAAGTCTGTTCATATTTATCAAAAAATAACAAAAGTATTGTAAAAGGAAAGTATTGTATTGAAAAAAAAATCTATGTACTGGGGGAAAACCAAAATATCACATTGTATTCCTGACAGATGATAGCAAAAGGCAAATTGCCTTTTCACCTTTCATCTGCCCCCACCCTCACCCCCAATCAACCCATGACCCCCCACCCGAGAACAGTGCAGTTTATCTGGCATGCAACTCCCTGCCCTAATGGTGCCCTTGGCCCGCGTGGGGCCAGGGGTGCCCTGCATGGACACGATTATGATTTCACCGCCTGCTTCTTCTTCTGGAACTTTCTGAACTGCGATTGGATGGCAACGGCAGCCTTCTCCGTCTCGGGGGCGCCCATGTCGATGTCAATGTCCTCAGCTGGGACATCCTTCTTGGACGGATCTGTGGGAACGACACATTGTCTGTTGGATCGATATTATGCACTGAATTTCTATTGCAGTTCTGCAGTCAGGCTTGACTCTACTTTTTATGGCTGATCAGGTTCGACCTTTACTTAGACCAGGGGTGTCCAATCCTGCTCCTGGAGGGCCAACGTCCTGCAGAGTTTAGCTCCAATCAGCTCTAACACACAAGTTTCTAGTCAATCTGAAGACCTTGATTAGCTGGTTCAGGTGTGTTTAATTAGGGTTGGAGCTAGGACAGTGTCTCTCCAGAAAGAAAGAAAATTAAGGTTCTTTAGTGGCATTGATGGTTTAATGAAGAACCTTTAACATCCATGAAAACTTTCCATTGCACAAAAGGTTCCTTAGATCATTAAAATGTTCTTCACACTAAGAAAAAAAACGGTTATTTTAAGAACTGTTCACTGAAAGGTTTTTTGGGGAACCAAAATGTTTCTTCTAACCTTCTGATCGTTATGAAAACTCCCTTTTGGAACCTTAATTTTAAAGAGTGAAACTAAAGGACTAATAAAAAATTAGCAATTCTGTCATCATTTACTTCCTTTATCGTTGTTCTGAAGTTATGTGACTTTCAAAAGTAAAAAAAATAGATATTTTGAAGTGTATTTATCTCATATATTTGCATTTTTAGAGAATAACAACTTTGAAAAATGTATTCTGTTCCTCACACAAAGCTGCTGTGATCTTCAATTTTTTTTTATGTCACTGTAAACACTTTACACTACAGTAAGGTTCAGTTTAACATTAACTGATGAAATGATGAAAAATACTTGTATGACATTTATTGAACTTGATTATTTAAAAGTTTACTAATTCATTATTAAAATAAAAAGCTGTATCTGTTAATATTGTTTAATAGACATGAGCTAACATGAACTAACAATGAACAGTTGTATTTTTGTTAACTAACGTTATAAAAATTAATAAATACTGAAACAAATTGACATTTACTTACTCTTAAGTAAAAGTCAATTCGCTCTTAAGTTAATGTTAGTTAATGCATTAAAAGCGTTAGTGTTTCCAACAGTACTTGTATTTCTCAGTTTTCATGAGTTTTAGAAATTCATGAGTTTAAAACATGATGATGATGAACTGTTACCGTAACCATAAGAAATAAAGTAATTTAACATGAGGGTGAGTAAATACTGACAATTTCATTTTTTGTGAGATCTATTCCTTTAATTGCACACTTTATTAAATGACCATGTTTCTTTACTAATCCACACTTACCTTCAAACATAAAATCATATTGCATTTTCTACAAATATTGTTTACACTGCGTAAGAGAGAAAGAGAAAGAAATGCAAACTTGCAAACGATTTTATCCAGATAACAAAATGCACAATTCCAGTGTAGAGTACTGAATTATACCTTGTCCACCTGAGGGTTTGATATTTCCAGCTGACCCGGATTCTTGTCTCTGTAAACAAACAAAAATAGAACATAAATTAATATCTGTAGATAAATTCAGAAGAAATCCCATATAGCCAAAGAATGATGAGACAGGCATTGAAGATGTCAGTTTTCTGTCTCATTAGCTGATCACAATTTAGTACTTCATATCCTGAATTAATAACTCAGTGTGTACAATGAATTACAAACACTTCAGAAGAGCTTTGATGCTCTGACACTAAAGCAATCTTCCTTGGCGTGTGTGTGTGTGTGTGTGTGTGTGTGTGTGTGTGTGAGTGAGTGAGTGAGTGTGCGTGTGTGCCGCTCGTTTTCTGCTGATGGCATTCTGTATGGCTGCAGTGGAAAGCGTGTCATTATATGCAGAAGGATTATTCCACACACACTGGCACAATTTAATCATATTATTCTCTCTCTCTCTCTTTTCCTCTGTCTCCTTCTACCTCAATCAATCCTCTTGCATTCAGTTCTATCTTTGTCTTACAGGCTCTGATAAACGTGTGGAATTTGCATAAGAATGTTTGGCAGGGGAAAATCTGCTTCACGTTGCCCATAGCTTCTGTTATTGCTTTGCATTAAGGAGCCGATGCAAAGAAGTCATCCTGCTGGATGGTGTAGTGAATAGTTTTGTGGCTGTTATGGGGATGGTGAAGGGCGCTGCTGCATAAATTACAGTCATTTGAAATGTCATACAGCATAGACAGTTGAACGTACAAGCATGTTGCTACATTTCATGATAAAAGCTTGAGAAATTAAATAGATGCAAAAATGTGAGCCCAAATTCCCAATCAGTCAAGTCAAGTCACCTTTATGTACAATGCTTGGTTCAAAGCAGCTGCACAATATTAAACAGGAAAATAACAGAATCAATTATGAAACGTCTTCAAATTTGAGACAGAATTCTGCAGAATTTTAGCTCAAGTCAGTTCAGTGTTGGTTCAGTTCTATAGCTGTGTAAACTTCATCAATTATGAAACAAACATTCAGCTATAAGCAGCTCTACAAAAAAACAATGGTGTCATTATTCAGCTCGAGTCAATTCAATGTTGATTCAGGAGGAAATAACAGAAAGTTCTGAAAAAAATGAAGTGAAAAATGTAGATATTGGATATTTAACCGTGCATGTTCATTTCCCCTAATTTTAAGTTTATACTTAAAGGGGTCATATGATGCGATTTACATTTTTCCTTTCTCTTTGGAGTGTTACAAGCTCTTGGTGCATAAAGAAGATCTGTAAAGTTGCAAAGACTAAAGTCTAAAATCCAAAGAGATATTCTTTATAAAAGTTACGCGTCAACCACGCCCTCCTAAAGCGGCTCGTTCTAACACGCCCCCACATGTCTACGTCACGATGTGGGAAGATTTGCATAACACCGCCCAAATGTTCACGCAAAGAAAGAAGTTGTAACTTTTATTCTCGCTGTAGTACTGTTGTTGCCGCCGGCGCCATGTCGTGAAGACTCTGTGTTTCGTTGTGAAAGTGATATCATTCTAAAAGAGGACGATATCCGCTTCGTCATGCCTCATGAGGAAATACATCAACTTCACGCTGTGGATCACCGGATCACTCGTAGGTTTCTGAAGAGCATTTTTGAAGGCTAAATTGGGCAGAGTGGGCCGTCGCCATCTTGGCAGCACGTCACTCTCGGATAATCGAAAATGGGCAAAGAGGCAGGACGTGGGTGGAGCTGGTTGTTGAAACCACGCCCGCCAAGCTCGACGGTGGTGACCGCAGTGGCAATCCACCTGTCAATGGCCACGCCTTTAATTATGCAGAACTTTAAGGCTTAATATAATTTAAACGGATGAGTTATAAAAAAAATTCACCCCCTCACAGTTGTCATGAAGGGCAAAATTAGCTATATAGACCAAAACCCCTTTTTGTACCAGGCTGTAAACATATTTTTTCTGCTGTAAAGTTGGGCATTTTAACATGGGGGCTCTATGGGATTGACTCCCTTTTGGAGCCAGTCTCTAGCGGCCAGTCGATGAATTGCAGTTTAAGTCACTTCCGTGTTGGTTTCAAGAGAGAGACCGGAAGGTTGCCGCTTGGTACAAACCCGCAGTGAGACACCCACCCCGCTTCAGTTTCTGCTTGGAAAGAGGTGAAATGAGGGAAATCTCTTCACTGCAGAGGAACGCTCTCCTGTTTGTAATCCTGTTTATGTGAGGAAACTCTGGAGTGAAGAGCAGCAGCATCAATATCAGCAGGGTTACATCCCTCCGTCTTGACAGTCTCAAACCACACAGAATGCCATTAAACTAGGATTATTACATTGGGCTCCGGGGAGGCACAAACAAATCCATTAATTGGAGTGAAGTGTCAGTCACTGGTGTGGCATGTAAAGATGCAAGTCTGAGTGTGGTCAAATAAGGGCGAGAGAGAGATTTTATTCAATTTATTTTGCTAATCAGATGGACATCTGAGCATAGCCACTTTAAGGTATGGCAATTCACTCAGCACCTAGCTATTTTCTATGTAGGCAAGGATTTACTTTATTTACAGAATTCTGTAAGTCAAAGTTATGTTCAGTGTTATTTTAGTATTATTTATATGCTATTATTTATTAATATTTTTTAATTATAGGCCTTATTTATTTAGCTTTAACAAATTTTTTATATTTATTTTAGTCATTTTAGTTCTTAAACTTTTTTGTTTCAGTGAGCTGCCAAGGCAATATTTCTAATTTTCAAGTAAGTTTAAAAAAAAAAAAAAAAAATGTATAAGTAATAATGATTTTGTGCCAACGTTTTGAGAATATTATTAAAGAGATAACTTTGAATGAACTTTCGATTAACGTTACTGGAAGAACATTTGTTCATAGCTTTACCTGTTAGCTAGCACTGCCACGTTCACCACTGCAGTCCAACAATATAAACGATAATCTTAGTTATCCGAAAGAAAATCAGGGACACAAAATCACATTAATGAGAGAATGACTGCAGGAAATAATTAATTAATGCATAAACACCGGCTCCATTTGGAAGTGGCAGGCAGAGAGGAGCCGTTTGGATGAAGCGTTTTTACCCTCCTCGTTCTCTCTCTCTCTACCGCCATATGCCTCCCCCATATTGTGTGTTCATTATGAACTGATGAAAACGATGGTTGTAATCATAAACTTCATTAGCTGCAGTGAAGCAAGGATTGGCAATGAAACCCATGTGTACATCATGGGGCAATTAAAATTTTAAGAGAACAGGATGTTTGCTGCTTCTCAGTGGACAAACACACTCAGACCCAAAGGGCTGCAGTGGATGAGAATCACAGCATATAAAAACATGAATAAGAACCCCTTTGCCTTGGCCTTTAGTGCCATAGGTGGAAAATAAATCTCATGTCAAGCATGACTCAGGTGTCATAAAGCATCCCAGTCTCACTGGCTTCTGCAAATACACTGCAGAACCAGGCTTTGCAGTGAATTGAACTTGATGCCACAGAGATGCTCTGAGCTCAGCACACCAGTGCCCTTCAGAGCAGCGCTTGGCACTGCCACCCAACGGCGCGACAGCATCCTGCTCCTCGCAGTTTGAGCATGCACTGCTGCGACGCTAATGAAGATCCTCATTTAATTCCACTCACTCTGACAGCTGGTTGCACTAATTAATAGAAATGCATTTTAAACCCCATTTACAGACGATCATTGAACCAAACACTGACAGCTTCCTCCTCAAAGGTGATTTATGGACATTCTTGTGGTTTCTAAAAAGGCGTTTGTCAACCAACAGTGAGTACAAATCATGCAGCTGATAGTTGTGTCTAAAAAAATGCAAATCAAACACCCTCCACTAAAGATTCACACTCAAAAAAGCAGCACATTTTATACCTCTGCCAAAATCTTGTTGTGTTAAATGACTGAGGAATTTACAAAAAATACTGTATTCGATCTTTTTTTATTTGAAGCCATTTGGAGAGCTATTTTAGATTCATTTGGCAGCTCAAGATCTTGGAAAGGCATCCACGCTGTTCTCAACATCTATTAAGAATTTAAGGGAGAAACACACAACTAGGACACAGACGGCTAAAGAAAAAAAAAACTCGGATCTGATGCGTCATATTTGAAGGCTAACAGATGCTCGACTGAATGCAGGAAACAGGCTTGAGGACGGGAACTCAAACGGTGGCTTTTATTTGAGCGCCTCACCACCAGAAAACACTGCAGGACGTAAATACTTAACTGATGAATGTGTGAAACCACATGCTGATGATTCCATAAATGATTATCTCCGAGCAGATCTCACTGCTGGAATGGATCGCAACTTATTTTTGGCAAAGAAACGTCTTGTATTCCATAGCATTCATATTAAACGCAGTCAAATCTTAAATTAATGTGTAAAGGATTTGGTAGTCACTAGTTGCCAATGGTTAAATAAGGAACATATTTTATTTAACAGTATTCATAATCAAATGTAGTCAAAGAGTTATTGGTTAATAATAAAAGAGTTATTGCTAATTGCATTTGCTTATGGCTGACTGCTACTAATTGAACGGGTAGGATCTACTAAGAATAAAATTAATTCTGTTGAACAAAATAAAATTATATGTGTCTTGATCCAATGTTATAATTGTATAATTTTATCAGTCATTCTATAAGTTATAAAGTAACTATTAGTAATTAATAAATTAATACAAATATATTATTACATAAATTCATATTTATATATTTTTAAACTATATTACTTAATTTTTATCTTATTATTGTCACGATGTCTACTGTGTAGGAGCGAGGAACGCGGAGACGTAGGAGTTGCAGGAAGAACAGTCTTTAATAGACAAACCAAGGGTTACACAGGGTAGGCAGGAGACAAACGTAGCACCATCAGGAGACGAAAAATACCGGACATGGAACATGGGACAGACGATATTATAAATACAGGGCTAAACGAGGGGAATAGACAAGACACACCTGAACCAAATGAACGTAATCACATGAGGGAGAAACTGGGTCATGGGGAGCACATGGGAGAAAACACAACAAAACCGGTCCATATTCCTGACATATCGCCCCCCTC